AGCTATAAATCATGTGAAACAATTTAAAATAAATATAAAAACAAACTAATTCTTACATGAACATTTTCAAAAATACAATTTGACATATAAATGTTGATTTAGTGAGAAAATAAACATTTGTATCTAACTATTGTGAATCTATTGGAGATAAGAGGATGCTACAATAGCTAAAGTTGCAAATTGGTAACAAAATCACTGCTCCCTCACAAATTATCACGTAAATCTTTTAAAATGTTAACCATCTTTTTGTGCAAAATTATCATTTTACAAATTCTTACTTTTGCATCCAATTCAGTCGACAGTTCATCAATGTTTATTTTGTATTGATGTCAGTTGATGTCATAAACTGACATATTAATATTGGTCTGTCTTGTTTGTTTTTCTCTTGAAAATAAACTCACCTGGGATACCTGTTAATTATTATACTCTGGTGTATCTTGTTGCCAATTATACTGACAGCAAAACAGTACCTAGAAATTTTCCTCCCCAGCCTAGGCAAGTTACATAGAAATTAGCCTGCACTTTTCTCTTCCATAAATATTTATTTTTACTTAAGAAATATAGATTTTCAAAGTAATTAGTATTAGGTTCCTTAATTGAAGTATTTGTTGGAAATATGTGTAGTAGTTGAAATTGTTGGGAATGTCTACAAAAAGGGGTAAAAGGAGATATATTTAGATTCTTCTCCTTAAGGAGATAATGGGATTTATCCTATGCCAAGTAGAGTTTTAGGGAGATAAGTTGGTAAGATATATCCCGTATCCGGATTTTGAGGTTTCCATATCCAGAACCTCCATATCTCCCGCCATATCTCCCGCTTCGGTGCATATCTTCCCGCTTTGGTGCATATCTTCCCGCTTTCCAATAAAAGTGGAAATAAAATGACTTTGCATATGAATGATTTGTTTATTTTTATACCTTGCACTATTGAAATGGCCATATGCCCCTGAAAACTCTACTTGGTGTAGGATAAAGCAGTTATGTACGGTTGGTTTGGATATAGGGTTCATCCCTTGTGAGATATGCACATCTACCTTCGGTCCCTCAGGTAGATATGCATATCTCCCTCTGGATAAACCCCATATCCAAAACCTCCCAGTACATAACCTTTATATATGTTAACAATGATGTTGCATATTCCCTTTTTGGTGATATCACAAAATCTCCCAAATTATCAACTGTTTCATTCTCTACAAATTCAGTAAGATCATTTAAAAAGTGTTAATCTTTTAAACACCTTTAACCACATGTAGTATAATAACATTTAAAATGATAATTAGGAAACAAAAAATAAAATAAATAAATTCTGCTTATTAATTGAATATTATATGTTTTTTAGTGTGTGAGAAACAAGGTTTTTGTACAAAAAAAGAAGTATGAGTTGTACAAAGACCTCAGGTAAAAATCCATCCCTGCAACAAAAACCATTTCTCACAGTTTATTTAGATTTACAATAGTTATAAATCTTAAAAAAACTTATATATATATATGAAGCAGATTTGAAACAGCTACCATAAATAATACAGAAAAATGCAGAGAAATTTTAGGTTTTTAGAATACAATCGGTACATTTTCCATAAAGTGTTAGAATGCATCGAAAGGGATTGCTCAGTTCAATCCTAGAGAGTTCATCTTTTATTGCACCGTGTTGACCTCTCTAAACAGTCCACATAAAACATCTGTCTTCGAAAGATGTTTATATGCGTTGGTAAAAGTTACCTTTTTAGATTTGTTACTCTCGGAAAACTTGGTCTGATATTATCAGTTTCAGGAGATAAAACAAATGTCGCTATAGACATCGAAAATACGATTTTTGGAATTTGGAGAAAAAGCTGATTCGCCGACAGACCTATCTCGTTCTACACATAAGAAAGGTAATATTTTGAATACTTTTAAACTGAATCAAGCAAAGGATATGTATGATTTCTAATGACGAAAAATTGAATCAATCATATAAAAAGGATATAATATCTCAAAATAGAAATTAAAGGAGTAGTGTAGTTCATCTTGACTGACTGAATGATATTTTACAGGTAGTTGGAGTTGGAAGAAAGGAGAAAATACAAACACTTTCCTGAGTGTAATTTGAGATGGTAGACTACATCATATACAAGGCCCCCTGTTAGGGATCACTAATTGTTATTGTTGGCTACAATGTCAATGAGACAACACAACATGTCAGTGTCAATGATGGGTGAAAGGATATTAAAAGGATACAAATGAAATATTAACTATACATGCTGATCGCCATTCAGGAATAAATTAGCATCAGTTGTCTAAACCAGGTAATATCTTTATTTACTTTAATTCGTAAGTTAGATAGCATTACATAAATAGTATTTTCTTATAATAAATTATATAAAAGCAAATAACCAATGAAATTTTGTAAAAAATGCATTTAACTGTATTTACTCAAATCATAAGAATTCAAATATCTGAAGGATAGAAACGGGTTTTTATTTAGAATTCTCATTTAGAAAAAAAGATTTCCTGAAAATGTATCATTTGGAGAAAGGGATGGATTATGATACCAAGGTACATATGCTTAAATATTTATATTAGATTCAGATAGACAAATTGTTTGACTCTCAAAATTTCACTATGCATTTAGATATTTTTTACTTATTTGACATCTTCTTCAATTTCTTTTTTTCTGTTTAGTTTTCTTTTTATTTGAAAAAATGATTTACCTGATTTTCAATAATTTTGTTTGTTAAGGTATCTATCCTTCAATATTTTCCCATACTACAGTCAGAGACTAAGCTGAAAATCAAAACAAGTTGCCTGAAAATTTGTTTATTATTAAGCTATATTGTCATATTGACTAACAAAGTAGCCAAATGCCATACATTTATCATTGTAAAAGCATGCAATTAGAGAAACAAGATATTGTCAATACTTCCATTGTTAACAAAAGTTGGCATTTAAAGAAAGACACAGTTCAGGAAACGCATTACTTTTAATATGCATTAATCACTTGACAATTAATATTGACATCACTATCAAGATATGTCTTCTTTATTCTTTTGAGAATTGTTTTGTAATTAAAGATTTATGCATTATTTGCTAAAATGTAGTCTGCTGAAGTGTGTATTGTCTTGGAAAATATAAGTAAACTTAGAAAAATGACAGTGTATTGACTTCTTTAAGAGCCACAACATGGTACTTGTGCCTATTGCATTATAGATGACTTTTGAACAACCTAATTTGAATTGCATGTGATATTACAAAGACTTTTTAAGTATAACTGCATTTTTATCAAATTATCTAATTGAAATTTATTCTAGCTGAATTCGACTTAAATATTGGTAATTGAATGATTTTTACACAAATCAGATTACCTAATTTAGCGTTGCATTTGAAGTGATTGAACTATATTAAAGTGATTCAAATCACATCTTATGTATGCTTTGTAAATTGCCCACTATATCAGATTAACTGCACTGCATAAAGTCAAGTAGACCAACATGTCACTGTTATGACACCAGAGGGTCAATAAAAGACATATAGTAGCAGATTAGAAGGGCAGGATCTGTAATTCTAATATATTAAATAACTGCATAACATTTTATTCAGAATGGTCTGTGACTTGCAAAAGTATGTCAAGTTCTTAATTGAATTTTACTTCTTTAACCTTTCTTAATTTTCAAATGCAATGAAGTCATTCTGCGTGAGTGATTTTTCAAGCTTTGAAATTACAGAAAAGTATGCTGATGGTGCAAATAACGTGATATTATGAATTATAGAACTTAAGAATGATTTTAGGGTAAGAATAATGAACCCCTCACATAACCAAAGCCATATAGATCTCTGTAGCAAATCTTCATGACTCATTTCTTTAATATTTAAGTTGGATTGGTCAAAACTATTAAGAAGTGGACAGGCCTCTCCCATATTACGCACACATTGATATTTTTCTCTATTTTCTTAATAGCCTTTATCAATATTTTAACCAGCAGTTAGTTTATATAGACTGTAGTATGTGTCATGATTTTAAAATATCTTATATCATCACAGATTTCAATTCCCCAGAAAGATAACTATGCAGTTTCTATTTATGCATGACAACCACATCCTTGCAGTTCACATCAAAATAGTTTGAAATTTTGGAGGTAAAAATAATGATGACCTTTACAATTTTCTTATCTAAGTTGACATTAACATGTATATTTCATTATTACATGTTCCCATATATTAAGTTACACAATAAAATGCAACCCAGTTTCTGTGAAGCACAACGTAAAACACTTGAGTAATTGGCTAGTGATTTCAGTAAGTGGGTGACAATTGATGTTATTATGAAGCTAACTATTTAATGCTGAATGATGACTAAAAGCTGATATTGGAAAGGTTGGTGATAAGCACAGAAGTCCAATACAACCGAAGTAAATATTTTAGTGAAATCATTTAGGATTATGGCATATCAGTGTAACTTAAATAGTACATAAATATATGTCTTTGTTAATTTATTTCAGATTGTTGCAGATCAGTAGAAAATCACAACTCTGGTACAGTGAATGATCTGGAGCAAACGGTTGACCAAATTCAAGCAGTGGATGGATATTTATTGCTCAATGGTATCATAGATGATAAAGATTGAGATGACATTTGGATTTTCTGCATAAAGTGAATTGAGAAAACACCAGAGCAAATCAAAGATCACATTCAGCCATTGGTTGCCAATCTATTGATATCATAGATGATATAAATTCATTTAACATTGAGATTAGCTTCAGAGTTAATCTAGATGGTGAGGTAACTCCAAAGCAAACTAGTGAACTTTTTCAGTTTAAAATCAATGGTATCATAGGTGATATAAAAGCTGAAACATGAAATAGGTTTTGTTGTGTAGCAAACGTTATACCAGAGTGAAATTGTTGACAGTTTCAGCCAGTGACTTATCAACTGGTGTATGGTATAATGCTTAATATAAATTAAGCTGATATATGGGTTTCATTAGTTGTGATGTCAATGGCAATGTGACACAACCCCAGATCAAGACAGAACATCATAAAGTAATTAAGTTACTAAGAAGATCACAGCAAGAAGCTTTGACGCATGATCGGCACAAATGGTTTATCATAAATAAAGACACCTGAATCTGGATACTAGTAAATAGTTTCCAGGTTTACAACGCAATGATATATTTAAATCAACAGAATTGAATTTTGTTGTCATAAAGTATTCATAATCCTTACATGATTGATCATACATGTAGGATCTTCAAATAAAAAGGGATTATATTTTCAAAAGCAGGAAACGTCATAAGGACATCCATTCAAGTGACACATATACCAGTAACTGCTCAGAAAGCAAAACTCAAAATGACATTTAGGAGTCTAATAACTGTTTGTATCGTGTCAAATTTGGGACTTTTACTCGCAATGAAGTGTACATTTGAGAAGAAATGTTTATGGGATTTAAATGGAGGAGTTGGATTTAATATCAGGAAAGCTAGATTCTCAAGAGATGGACCTAAACAGGACTTTTCCAGGGGCAATAGGGATGGTACGTAAACAGTTAATGTTGTCTTTAGGTGTTAAGTATTTTTTCTTTTTTTGAATTTTAAAGATTGACTTATTCAATACAATGTTTGCATTTATCAAATATGCAGTATCAGCCATTGATGTTGTATCTCATGCATAAGATTTGAAGAAAATCTGTAATGAACCACTCTTTGAAGTAAGCACGTCTCTGTTTTGAACACTTATATGTTCTGAACACTACTCTAATTAAGGCCTCTTTAATGTATATAGATAGATCTTTGTGAATACTTTTCTTAAGGGAAAAATCTCTATTAAATACCTCTCTGTGGGCACTGGTTACAAACTCTTCTGTAGAAGCTAACACCTCTTTACATGATGCAAGCTTATTAATATCAAATTATACTAGATGGGAAGGAGCTGGATATATCTGTTTATTGTTTGCTTTACATTATTTGGTTTGATGTACATGTAAATGAAAAACAAAAAATCAATTTTATTTATTTTTTGATTTGTTGCCATTATTATTGAAATCACATTGAGAAAACAGTAGGTATAAATTGAAATGACCACAAATATCCTCTATGGTGTTATTACAGTGTGTGTGGCTCATAGGCATTTTCCTTGACATAATTTATATAAGGTGAAATGTAAGTAATATTTGAATTTGATGTCTACTTAATAGACATATTTGTTGCTGAGTATGACAGAAATGAGTATGACAAAAATGCTGTAGAACATCTCAAAATCATCAGGATACCATCACAGGGAATAGTGTAAATTCCATAAAAAACCTTGAATTGCCATTTTTATCATTGAGTGTTATAGAACGTATAATCTTACATAAGCCAACAGTGATTTTAATTAAAATTATTAAAAATGCTCATCCTTTTGAAATGTCTTGATATGATGTCAGAAACCCTGCATTCAGAGGATGATTTCCCAAGGCAACCAACCATATACGTATGCTCCTCCCTGATGGTATCTCTCAAAAGAACAACAGTGGATGTTGTAGATTTTATCAGTTGGTGGCACTTCACTCTGTTTCCTGCCATTGAGTAAACTTTCAACACTAGTTTCGGTAACAAAAAGTTTGTTAAAGTCAATTTTGAGTCATTAATCAAAATTTCATTGCAATAAGGGAACATCTCAAAACAACACTTCATTGTTTGATATTACTTTGTTTATATAATCCAGGTACCTCCCAAGTAATGAAGCAACAGGGGTATAGCACTTCGTTCAGATTACAAAATTTACATTTAACTGGAAGATTTACACAAATAGATGAGGATTTTAGTAAATCTTTTGATACTTTAATATTTTGTCTGGTTTTAAACAAGATTTCCTAGTCAGCACCTCACTTTTGATCTCTATGAATTTCCGGATAAATAGATTTAAATGAAGATTTTCAATGATGTGTCTTGGTATGAAAACCTTGAGCTTGTTAGTTTTCTCTTTCATGCACTATAGACTCATTTTTTATCATCATTCTTTATCAGTTTTAGGGGCTTCAATCCAAGATAAAATGATTTATTTATTCATTATCTATTGCCAAAATACAAATATACAGTATACAATTCAACTTGTTGGGTGAGACGGTTTGAAACTTAAAAGTAATAAATTGCATTTGAAGCATCTTTTGTGACATATTGCCCTCTTTGAAGTTACAAAACTGATTACCTTCGCAAGTTAGAATTATGTAATTGCACTAAACTCACTCCAAACTGAGATTATTTATCTCTTTCAGGTATTTTTTAACGTTGTATGATACTTTCTCATGGTTTTGTTGTTAGAGCATAGGTACAACATGTTTGATTAGTGTGGGCATCCCTACCATTTATGCATATATGGTTGAATCATGTGTGGACCCTACCATTTGTGTCTAAATGGTCTGAAATGCCTATTTGTGTTGCAATGCTCTACCATTTGTGTCTGAATAGTGTGTGAACCACAACCATTTTATATCTTAATAGTTTGGGAACCCTTAACATTTGTGTCAGAATAGTATAGAAACTTATACTACTTTGCACACCGACGTGGTGCGACCTGAACGAACTGCGAATGGGATGGACGTATTGAAGACTGTTTATGAACGAAGTAGCTAATTATTTTAGACATATATCCCGAACGCAGCCAGATTGAGCCCGTTTTACGACATTTTAGTAGGACTGGCAAGAATGGGTAAGAACTAGTTTGGTGTGATAGGGGGTTACCATTAGTGGTTTAAATGGTTTTCAATTTCTTGGAATAAATGTTTTATTTGCACATTACATAAATACAAGGAATCTCTTCGATTTATTTTTTTGTCATATAATAAGTGATTTGTAAACATTGTTGTAAGCCAGGGTCTATCTGTTAATGAATATCAAGTATATGTCTGATACCAGTTGTCTCATCAATTATGTACATAAACAGTCACATATTTTGATGGTGGATGTTTCTAGATGAGGCAGTGTGCACTAACCTTGCTAATTGGAAGTCTTTTTTAAGTTAAGTTTAAGTTCATTACCGTTCCATTTGGTAATTGTAAACTCTTACTTGTTGAATGTATTTTGAGTTGGTTGTATCTGATTAGACTTTATGATGCGTAACTTTTTAGCAGTAATTTTTCTTATTCTTAATTTTAAAATAAACTAACCATGTCCATAAATGTCCATTTCTATTAATGAGCTGATGGCTTGTACTGTACTATCATATCTCTATACAATATATTTCCATGTTTTTTTATTATCTTGTTCTTGAAATATATAAAATTTATAATTGTATGCAGGCTTCATAAGTACAAAGACATCAGATCCCTTGCCCATAGCCAGCTTTTACAAGGGGAGCTTTTGCCAAGGAGGGGGGGGGGGGTAACAAATGCAGGTACAAATCGCAAATGAAGATCCAGAGAGATACCATACTTACTAATGATTCATCCATTTGAAATGGTCCATGTGTGTTATGTTTACAAACATTCTGAGCAGTATGTATTACACCTTTGCCTAGATTTCTCTCTTTTTCTTGCTGTGCTTTATCATACTCTGGTCTTATCCCCTTTTGCAATTGTATTCACATAGCTCTGTTAATGAAAAATGATAACAAAAATGCTTTAATCTCTTTAATGTTCAGAATATATGATATTTATGTCAAAATTGATATCTCTTTTACGCCCAAAGTGATGATTAAATCAGGCCCGTAGCCAGGATTTGCCAAGGGGTTCACTTTTTTGAAAATTCCAGGGGGCTTCACCTGTGACAACTTTGGCCCAAAATGACCAAAATCATTTAAAGTGCTCAGAATGGTGAAAAGCAGCATGATTTTGAAAGATTTTTTTGCTTGGAAGAGGGGGGGGGGTTGCAACATGCCTATATATGCATGGTCACATACATATTCATGTATCATTCAAACATTACTCTCTTTAACAAAATTTATCTAGTTTAAACAATACATGCTTTAAAATGGGCAACAGGATTATGGTTGCTAATCTTTTGTAAATTAACTAAGCATCAAACTCATTTTAGAGCCTTGAGGTTAAAGACTGATTTTATTTATACTACTGAAGATTTGTAAATCTTAATGGAGGCAATACATTTTCTCAAATGTTTTTATAAAAGTACATTAATTCTATCTAGTTCAGAATTGACATCATCAAATATAAGCTAAATCAACCCAGTTGTCAAATAAAGAACAACTTATTCTATTAATGAGCGACCATTGTTTTCTAAATAGTTCCCTTAGTAGAATTGCATTGCTTTACACCAAACAAACTAAATCCAGGCCTTATTGAGCTCATAACCATATTTCAACTGACGTATTTTAATTTCATTAATGAGAGCAGGGACTTTTTTCTTTAATTCATCAAATTCATTATAAATATCAATATGTGTCTGTATCACACTTCAGCTGGAAACTGGGGTTTGTTTTCTAAATAAAAACAAACTTGCCAAGGCTGTTCATTTATCTTAACAGAATCTAGCCATATGTCTATAAGATACAATGATCCATATGTTAGGGAACAAGAATTTAGACTCTCCTAGGCTAAATACTTCAAGAATTTGCTAAATGAATGTTTAATTGGAATTGATGGTTCAAAGGGAATAATACATAGGTTTAGTTTGTTTCGTATTTGACATATTAAGATGGATTAAAAGCTCTTTATTCATGTCATTGTACTGACACATACTCTTTGAGATTACATAAAAGGCATGTTGAGAAGTGAATTTTTGTTTCAGAATTTGAAAAATCTTTAAAACTAGTGACAATTATAGAAAAATATATTATCATAGTATGATGTTCGATAACTTATTCAAGAATTGTATTACCTGTACATACTATAAAACTAGTTCAAAAATATCATCATTATAAAAACCCAAGAAGCAATGATCTCATTAAGATTTTTTTAAAATAAAAAGCTTGCTTATCTTATATTCTATTACCCGTTTGTTTTATTTTATTTTTTTAAATTTATGCCTTATAAAGAATCATTGATATTATGATATAAACCATGTACAAATTGATATCATTTTGGGTTTTTCGCAATATAAAGGCCTGCTTTTCTCTCTGATTCTGACTGAGATTACTTAAGATGAAGTCTTAGAGAAAAAGTTGTTATTTACCTGTCTCAGAGGCTGTTGACACATGTGTCATCTTAATTACAGGTATATTATGCCGTTGTTAAATGTTACAGTACAGGTCATTGTTATTATGCCTCATACATGTTGTGTTATTATGCCATTAAACAAAACAATGATAATTCCTTTTTCAAAATATGTTTTGTACAGTAAATATGATTTTCCCACATAGCACATTTTTAGAAAAACAACTCTAATCTCAAAGTTTCTAAATCACCTTTTTTAATCCAAATTTTCTTTAATTGAAAAAATACCAACACATTTTTCTTCTTCCCAAGAAATGAAGGAATTTTGAAAAATGTTAATGGTTTTTATTGATGCTTAATTGCAGGGCAGTATGCCATTGTGACATCAAAAAAGAGAAGGGCCTCAATGCAGAGTCCATGGTTTGGTGACACAATACCAAAGTGTAAGCTACAATTCTACGCACATATAACCCCTGGCAATAATTCTATCAGTGTTCGAAAAGATGATGGTGAAACACTTTGGACATTAAAGCCTAAATTCAACACTGCAAGGTAAGATATGATTTAGCAATTTACAAAAAATGTCATTTTGATCTTGTCTGTTTCTTGTTTTTTTCCAAATTCTCTTCTCAAAAATTTGAATGATATGCCTAATTTTTTTTATGTCACCACCAAAAGCGATAACGTGTTGTTAATATAGTCTCCAACTTTTTGTGGATGGTGTTTGGCATTAGGCAGTTGATGTTGGTGTTTGGTCACTTTCTGTAACAAATGGCAGGTGGTGACATTTTCCATAAAAGTGCCTTGTCTATACAGTGTGTTATCTGCATGACTTTTACAATTCATTCTTGATTCCTCTCATGATCACCTATTTTCTTAACTGGCATGACATTTATTAATCCTTTTTAGCCCCAAGGTGAGCTTTTTTATATGATGTTACATTGTGTTCAAACATACCAAGATTAGCAAAAGTAATAAAAATGTACAACTCCTAATAGGTCATTATATTTAACATGCTCTTAATTGAGGCAACTATAGCAAATATAAGTAGATTTAGATATAAAACACAATATCTTTTGATTAAAAATGTATAAATCTAGTTCCGTGTGATAAAACAAATAACATAAACGTCTTGATGATATATTTGAGGTAGTCCGGGAAATCAGTTTTGTTCAAACATACTTGAAAGTGATGTTAGAACGTGCCTGGAGTATAGAATGTGAAACTAGACATAAACTAATGGGATATTTAGATATATTATTATTTCAATTGCTTTGAGGCATGAGCAGATGCCTTAAATATCTGATTATGTCCTCAATATCTTGTACTTGGTGCCTTCTCGTAAAAAGTGAAAAATTGTTATTTTTCCAGTGACGTAATTTAGGTGTTCTGCAGGAGAGGTGTGCCTTCCTTAAATAACAGAAACCATTTCTTGATTCAAATATATTTAGTTTGTGTGAATCAAGAAATTTTGATTATCACCCCTCGTACCTATATTTTCATCCTTTGGTATCCTGTTCAATGGATAGCCATTCCTAACTCAAAACCTGAATAGGCCCTCCTTTTTATCATTTCTGTTAGTTTCACACTATCATTTCTTTGATCATTCTTTTTTTCCCAAAAATTTTCAAGAAATCTTAAGTATCAACATATTGCTATTAATTACATTTTTGATTTATTTCTCAAATCATTTTTTCTCATAAGTTGAGATCTAATCACACGGCTATTTAAATTTATAATCAAATTGAAAATTGAGCATTTTGGAATATTAGCAGGTCAGGCCCCTAGCTGGCTATGGGGCTGGCAGGGAGTTTTGTAGTATTTCTTGAATGCTTGGGAATGGGTTGTGTTCTGACAGTGTTTCTTTATATGCTGGATCATTGGGAGGTTTGTAGTATATTGCCTTGTTGTGCTCTTTAGTTTTCCTAGTGTTTGATACTTTTCCTTTTTGACTGTATATTGTGGTTATAGGTTGAGATTTACACATCATTGCTAGCTTTATAAATGACTTCAGATTCTTTAAATGCATCATTAATTATAATGATGTGAGGATATTTCCCTTTGTTCTCTTTCATTCAACATCTCAGAGTTCTCGAATTTAGGACTCATTTTCACCAGAGACAAAACTAAATTAGGTTCACCACCATTCATGTTAGCCTATAGTAAGGGTATCTGGGAATTACACCCTCAAAAGTGACTTGAAAACCTATACACTCTCAAAATTGACCTGAAACCAAATCTCAAAAACCTGAAACTACACACTCTCAAAATTGACCTGAAAACCTAATCTCAAAACTAATTTGAAAGCCAGTACATTCGGAATTGACCCGAAAACCTTGTTGCAAGAAGGTTTATCAATCATAACATGGAACATCTATTATATTGTACATTTATTTTATGATAATTGTAGTAATTATGACCACCTCGACCCTGGATCTTTGATTCCCATGTAAACCACCTGTGAACCTATGTCCTTACAAAAATATTATTCACATATTCATACATTTTTATTGACAAATATCTGATGTTACTCAAATTATTGCATTTTTCATAACAGCTTAACATCCTGCCTTTAGTTTTTGCTCGTTGTTTTTAGTTTCATGTTTTTTTTAAAAGAATTATGATTATTCTATTTTGTGAGGTTTTACGGAACATCTTTTGTCTTTGGGGGACATTCATTTTTGAAGAACATTTGGTTAGGATGAACCCTTCTAGGGAATCATTATTGTGTATTTACTGGAATTCTTGTTGAAAAAGAGACAACAAAATGTAGATTTGGGAGGACAGAATACAGCTTTTTGCATCTAACACTATGATAATGTCACAAGACCATAAATACAACATGCCATAAATGCATTTCTGATGCTATAAATGCATTTCAGATGCCATAAATGCATTTAAGATGCCATAATTGCATTACAAAGCCATCTGCAGGATAATTACTGACATCTGCCTTTTTTGTTTATTTGGATCAATCTTAAAATGCAAAATTTTCGAAATTTAAATCAAATTAGGTTTCAGATATTCCTGGAAATCGTTTGCAACTAAATAATAACATATTAGGTGTTTTGATTAATTAATTGATTGATTTAATATAAATGGCATATAGGTATTCTTATTGTTTGATGCAATGGTGCTATACTTTTTTTGCACAGACTGATTTTTCTCATTTCTAATCTAGGCCTCCAGATTTGCAATATTGGTCAAATCTTGTTCATGTTATGTTTACAACTTTATAGTTGATCCTGATGGGAGTTGTTTTATTTTGTTTTTGAAATGTTGCCTTTTATGTTCCAGTTGTATTTCAAATGGATGATTTTAGCCTCTACAATTGTTTTCACAAGGAAGATAAGATGACTCCAAAGATAATACTTTTTCAATGTTTTTCTAAAAGCTTGGCTCCACAATCATGTTATTTGATTGAGACTATGCCTAGAGTGCAATTTAAGACAAGTTCAAAAATAAACAACTTTTGCATTTATTTGTTAAATCAAAGCACAAGGAGTAACAGACTAAGAAAAATAGGTCAGCAGAATCAATGTCCAAAATTTACCTGAAATAAATTTGACCTCAATTATAATTGAAGTATTGGCTGAGCTGTAAAATTTGTGATCACTATGTATAATATTCACTTTTTTCAAATCATTAACATGTATAACATTAATAGCCATTAATCCAGAGAGTAGGTCCCATTGAGTCAAATAATAGTAAATACCTGGAGTCAACATGATAGTATTTTACATAGGGATGGGAAATGAGTTAAAGACATACAACATCAGTAAATGTACTTATGCACATATTTTATAAATTATTCTTAAAGGTCAATTATTGGTCATGTTGTAGATACTACTTGGATAAAATAAGAAATCATTTGTAAACTATTTCAAGTTATTTTTCATATTTGTTTTGGCATCATTTTTTGAGTTCATAGCCCATGGCTACCAGGTTATTAATTTACATATGTTACACTCTAACTTACTAATGGGTTTTACTATGTTCTGGCTCTCGTCCAAATCATAAAACAAAAACCTGGTAAAAAGTGACATGAGAATATCTAAATCTTCAAATGTAGTTTTTAGAAGTTCAATTTAGATCAGAATTTGGCATTTAACATCATTGGCCTTCATTGGTTTTAGATTGGTTAAGATAGGCATTTACTTAACATGTTTATTTGCATTTTTGGTTAATATAACCGTGCATTGATGCTACATTGATTAGTGTCACCATGGGTGTTTCAAACAGAAATTCTTCAACAATCTAATATCAATTTAGGGATTTTCACAAATCGAACAAAAGAGTATGAAAGCTAGTCTGTCTCTTGAAAGCCCCTGATAATAGTTTATAATTTATTTGTGTTGAAAATGAAACATCAAGTATCATGTTTTCCTTAGGTTCGTTGTTTTCAATTTGGATCATATTTATCAGATATTCCATTATAATTCTTTTTAAATATGTTTGCAGGTTCTCATTCTATGTCATATCAAGTTCAAAATATTAAAAAATGAAATATATCACCAAATGAACCAAAGCTGTATGAGGTATAACATATAAACATTTCATTCAAAAAATTCCTCACACTATATAATTGTAAAGTCAAGAATAAGTTTTAAACATTTTCTTGTTGATGTCTCCACCTGGCAGTGTGTAGACTCTTTCAATTTACCGTATGTTCAAATAATGTTTTATTTACAATAATTTGATGTTCAATGGCATCTTAAAAGTAAAATATATCCATTCTCCTATGCCATAAAAACTGTGTTTACACGTTTATAAGTATATGTTTACAAATTAATGTTTAGGTTGGAAACCAGACTTTTTGTGTTAAACATCTAACTGGCAATTTTGAACGTGATTCATCTTAACATTGTAAGTGAACTAACAAAAGAAATATTTTTAATACACTGTAATTACACTTATATAGGTGCCATGCCGCATCATCTTTTCAAAGTGTATTTTACATCAAATGCTTAATACGGAATAAAATAGGCTACTCATCAAAATTTCTTATTATCAGATGACACACGGACTATTATAGGCTTTTAAGTTTGAAAAATTGTTTATTTGATTTTGTTTATGTTATTCCAGAATAATAATGCAATTCTTCACTTGTTTACAAGAATGCCCTGATCATAATATGTAATTATGAGCACGTGGAGGCATTTATTCTATATGAAATATCACAATGTCCTAGAAAAACACAGGCACATAGTCAGCTTTCGCCAAGGGGGTTGGGTTTCACTTTCTAAAGATTTCCAGGGGGTTCACATTTGACAATTTTGGCCCAAAAATGGTTAAAATTATTTGGAAAGTGCTCAGAATGGTAAAAACTGCATTATTTAAATGGACTTTTGTCCGGGGTGGGAGTTCGGCCTGACATCATAAACGTATAATTAAGGATACTTGTATAATCGATTGATATAAGTGTAGATTTATATTTTCTTTATTTCGGAACTAGATTTTCATGCAAACTTGAATTTCTGCAAGTCTGTGATTATGTAAAAGAAGTGTTTAATAGATATTTCTTTGGAAATATAACTCTGAGAAAAACTAATATTAAATCTTCTTTAGTTTATACTCTTAATTGAAAAATATGCTACAGAACCAAGGTGTCACATGCCTTTGTTTATATACACATAGAGTAAGTAGGGTGATCCAAGCATTGATGTTTTAATTAACAACATCTATCAATAGTGTTTCACGGAAACTACTAATTGCTGAATTGAAAAAAAAAAATTAAAAAAATGGTTGAACTTCTGCCATTAATGAAACAAAGTTTTCATGATGAAACATATCACCTATAATATATGACTTGCATCATATTGAAAAACATATTGAGGAATCACACAAAGTATCAAATATTGGTATTGTTGGAAATTAAAATTGGATTTTATTTGTCTTTATCTATTTTGTAGATGGCGGGAGTACAATATTACAATTGGTCAAATGACAGAACCATTTAGACTGATTATAGAAGCATCAAGAGATAGAAAGAAAGGATATGTGGCCATTGACCAAATCAAAATGGTGGACTGTGACCCAGGTATGTAGAAGATAATTAAAAATTTATTATTCACAAATGACTGTATTCACACCTTCTATAAACTGTGAACAGAGTCAATATTTCACCTGGTATTTATTCGTCGATATAATACCTGGTCTGTACAAAGTGTTTTGTTCAGTACTAAACTGGAAGTAGGAAATGAAGTGACAATTTTGCAATCCTGGTGGTGGCATTTAGTCATGTAATTGTTCCTTATTTACCAATATTGTTTTCATTGTTGTTCAATTGTTGTTCTTACATGGAGCTTAGACCATCATAAAATTAAAGTACATGTTTATATGCTCTTAAAACGGTAACCATAGAAATATCAATTGTTGCCTGTTGTTTTTTGTTTTTCAAATGCTGCATTTATATTCATTTCTCAAACATCTCTGTACATAATATGTCTAATTTAATTGAATTCATTAAAACCTGATACAAATGTTTCAGCAAGTCTAGAGCTTCAGTGAGGGGCATTATATGCCTCGTTATAGAGATCTACATTTCAAACAGAAACAAATCTAAATTTATAGTATTATAAATCATTACCTCAATTAAAGCGCTGTTGAGAAAGTGTGAAACATACAACTGCTCACTTCGCCGTTGGTAGGAAATCACATTAAAATCATTAAAAACTTGTAATCAAATATAATAACCCTGTGCATTATTGATGTCAAAGGATATTGGGTGCTCGTTGAGATGTCATTTGATGTTGACTTAGGAAATTTTCCCGGCTGTAGAGGTTGTTCTGATGTTGTAAATGGCAGGTTTGAATGACATGTACTTTAAAATTCAGTTTGTCAAGATGTACTAATTTTCCTATGTTTATTAATTAGTAAGAGGGTCGTTCAATAAATATTATGCTGAATGCGGATGCTCTTATTTGCACGTTCTTTGGAAATAAGAAAACAATTTTTGAGATTGGAGGCGATTGTTTTTACTAGTTTGATTTCATAACTGTGTTTTGAATAGTTTGGAGCTACCTTTGAATTTGGCTTTCAGGTTGAAAGTATCTGGAGCTCTTTTTGCCTTTTTTTGCCATGGTAAAAACAATTCTATATTGGCCAATTCCTGTTTCTGTTTATCTTGTTATTCTCAATTTTCTCTATTAATATATGTTTAGAAAGTGACATTAAAAGAAAAGAGGGGGAGTTGTTTGTAGAATGAATCGGGGTAGTGACATTAAGAGAAATTTAACATTCCTTTCAATGGGAGATACAAGTGTATTTTCAGAAAATTGAATAAATTCTGAAATTCTATTCTGAGTTGAAAAAACACAAGGGGCAATACTAGAAAAATAATGTGGTCCAAAACCACCAAAACCACATCATTCAAAAACAATATTATATCAGAAGCACAGAAATATGGAAACACAAGTTGCAAAAGGGAAAATAGCAACAGTATTAAAAACAAAGTTAGGGAGAGGAACATAAACACAGGCTCCAAACCACAGGCTCTGAAACAAATAGTAGAATTGATTGAAATGAAAATCTACCCCAATCTCTGAGCACCAAAGAAAAAGAGATCGTACACATAAAGTGGGGAGGGGATTTTTGTTTCGGTCAGTTTTACTATCAGTTCCAGTGCCTGCGCTCCAAACTACAATCTAATATAAAAAGAACAGTGTCAAACATGTCAAACATAGACATACAAGGGTTGTTCAAAAAGTCTTTAAATTTTTACTCTCATATTATCAATTTTTATTCTTTTGGCCTCATATTTCACATGGATGAGCTTTGAACATTTGTTGTTCACTTTTGTAAGTTTGAAGGAGTAAAAACACTATATATGAGGTAAAAATTTTCATGTGAGTTTTAAATTTAACTTATTATGTTTTCAGATCTCACAAGAGATGAAATGTGTAGCCTAGAAGAGTTTTATTGTAACACAACAGGTTGTATACACCATTCCAGAGTATGTGACATCAATATGGACTGTGTATATGGAGAAGATGAGGCTAATTGTGGTAAGAAATTAGGAAGTATACATATTTTTATTTTTCCAACTCTTAAAATAAGAGATCATGCTAGCATGCTGGTGTATCATATTCGCTCATTGTTATAAGACCAAGAGTTTTATTATTAAAGGCTGATATTTCAGCAGTATTATCTTTAGGAATTTTGTAATCAATGTAAATAATTTCAAATTAAAATATTATGTAACAAATAAGCTATGGGTGTCTGAATTTGCATGGTGCAGGGTACCCGGGGCACATTCTTTTCTCCTAAAAACGTCTTAAAAATTAAGACAATATTTTAGTTTATTTACAGTTGCGGTGATATCTTGATATATTATTGTGTGATGTCTTAATACTCATTTTCACAGTATCACTTGCAATAATACAACAATTTTGAAGATGAGTCACTGCTTTGAAAATATTGTCTTAATATTAATTGTGACGTTTTTTAGGAGAAAAAAATGTGCCCAAGGTACCCTGCACCATGCAAGTTCTGACATGTATAACTTTTTTGCTACAATTCAGCCTTTATTAATAAAAACTCTTCTTCTTATAACAATTAGTTCAGGACTTATGGGACAACCCTCGTATACATGTATATATAATACATTGATTTTAGTAACTAATAATCTAAAAAAAATCTATAAAAAAATCAACTTTTCTCTAAATTTTGGCATCTTATGTGTATATGACACTACGCCATTGTATCATGTCATATTATATAAGATTGCCATTATTTTATGTGGAAAGCATGGCATATATCAGAAAAATTAAAAGTTGTATTGTTATCATGAAAGCTAGTCCTCATAGTAAATACTGTCTTTGTATATTTTAAGATTATTTACCAGTCCATTCCCGATGTACATTTGACAAAGATTGGTGTGGATGGCATAACATTGGACGAAAAGGAACAAACTGGTCAAGAAGTAACGGAGATCACTTTCTCAATGACCCAAAAGACAGGTTAACTGGCCCAGCTAATGATCACACAATGAAAAATAAAACAGGTACAGTTCCATAAGAGACTTTGGTGAAGTTTTCATGATTCATATGTATATATGAGGGGTGATCAATAAGTAATGAAAGCAAAAATGCAATACAAGACCTCAACCAGTCATGGGGAAAGGGAGCCCTCAATATCAGAAATGAAAATATTAACACAAAAGGGAATAAGCTAAGTAATTTACACCCCCCCAGGAATTGAGTAGTGGGATATCAAAAATCACAAAACATATTACACACCAAGTTATAGTATATAGTATATATCTTGTCTCTTCTTTCCTAATTCCAGTTATAATAAGTATTTGTGTCTCTTCCCTTGGTCTGCTCAGTTGCTAATTGGACAAAACAAATACAATTTGTGTTGGTGTACATGTAATTGATTTATTTAATATTACATAATAATATCAATTAGCAAGTTGGGTAGTCCATATCTGAAGGGAGGTGGAGGGGAATGGGTGGCAACAATAAATGTATATAATAGTCCACAATTCCAATAATAAGTATAACACAGTCCATATAATAATATATACTGATAATAATAAAATGATAATAGTTACTTATAATGAAAATAATATTACTGATCACAAGTTAAAATATCTGAGACCAGCTATGTGCTAGCATAGACTGATAGAATACATCCTAATTCGACCATCAAGCAAAATCAGAAGGCTATGGCTAATTTCGCAAAATCCAGCCTTGCGGTTTTGTCGGGAGTGAGTTGCAGTAATCTGAGTATACCCAATGACCCTAATGTCCCAGTTATTGACCGGTCAAATAATGTAAACAATAATAATAGAAACAGTAACATTGGAATACCTATTGACCGCCCCCAAACTCCAAATCTGGCCCCAGGCAGTGATGGGTACCCGAAGTTAGATAAAGATGATCCAGCACCTAACCCAAACGCAGACACCGCTAATGCTGATGCGAACACCCAGTTAGAGTCCACGAAACGGACGTTAACCCCTGCGGAACGCCATGACGCGTTGATTCCTGATAACCCCCAGATACTGACACCTCCCATACCAAAGAGGACGACGCCCCCGAGACCCCCAAGAACGAATCTTGGTCTGAATACGCTTTCGGACGATGGGTCATATCAGGTTAATTACGGCACAACGGCAACTGGCGTATGGCGCGGACCTCCCCCTAAGAGTGGAATTTGGAATGGTTCCGATCAACCTGGAAAGGAATGGCAGACCTGGATTGGCAATAGTCAACTACGGCGACAGAAATTAGTAGCGAAACAAAAGGATTACGTCAACACGGTCCCCACAAGACAGAAAATTATGCGTGACGAAATTCCCAAGAAACGGTTAAGAGGCATCGAGTACGAGGAAGTAAGGACTTTATATTTGGAAAATATATATCAATCAAATGATGAAGAAGACGATGATACTATTGAAACTGTAAAACGGTATGCGTTGGACAACGGAATAAGGGTGAAACAAATACATGTAGTGCATAATCGTATATCATGTGACAGAGTGGGTTGTAAAATAACTGTGCCCTTACACCATGTCGATAAGGCCTTAAGCATCGACTTATGGCCAATCCCAATCAAATGTAGAGAGTGGGTACGACGATCACGACGCGATGTCGTCAGGAGTGACTCATATAATGACACTGACTTAAGACCGAGGTATAACTCGCGTAATTTCTAATCCTGATCATGACCTTTTCTTCACTTTCACAACTTGTATTAGTCGTAATGGTAGTTATTTCACAGTGGAATATAAATGGCCTCAATTCATCTGAGTTATATCTAAGAGAACTTCTAAGTTCAAGTGATATTGTCGCTGTTTCGGAACACCGACTTTTTGAAGCAAATTTGCACAAATTAAAAGCTATTGATGCTGAATATGATTCCATTGCGATTAGCTGCAAAAACCTTGATTCTATGCAATGCGGTCTGACTTGGGGCCATGGTGGGGTTGCTCTTATGTGGCGTAGATCAATTAAACATGCCATATCACCGATACATAAATTTTGTAATGATAGGATTGCATGCATTAAGGTTGAGGCAAATGTGCCAATTTTTATATTCTCTGTATATTTGCCACAGATTGGGTGTAAAAATGACAATTTTGAAGACGTGTTGAATACACTTGAAGAATATGTGATAAGTTGTCATGTAGATGCTCAAATAGTAATTACTGGTGATTTTAATGCCAATTTAGGCAATTTATGTAGTACACGGCGTTGTACCACTAATTATAGTTATAACGGTCAACTGCTGTTTCAAATGATGCAGCGTAACGGGTTAGTTGCCCTCGATATGCAAAACATAACACAAGGGCCTAATTATACATACGAATCAGCCACTGGGTATAAATCGTATATTGACCATATTGTGATTTCTGAATCTATGCTGGAGAGTGTAATAAGCTGTAATGTTTTGTGTAGCGCATATACGTCAATGCATGGCCATTTGGCGATTAAAAGTAAGTTAGACCTGCCATCTATTAATCATGTTAAAAGCTCTACGCTCTGTGTCAAGAAGGTGTATTCATGGTACAGGGTGTCTCGCAATGAGGTAAATGTTAAGTATACAATCCCTTTGCAGTCGGATTTGGAGCCTTTAATCAGGAGTATGTCAGACAATAGCAAACTTGATTGTAAGGATATCGATAGTTTTATCGAACGTTTGATTGAAATTGTAAAATGTAGAGCTGATGATGCCATTCCTTTGAAAAAATTTATGAAGCATCAGAAGCCTTTTTGGAACAATGATCTGTCTGTTCTTAGTAAAAAACAAAAAGCAGCCTGGCATAAATGGACTAAAGCGGGGAGACCAAGGGATTCTTCTGATCCTATCAGGAAAGCTTACAAGGAAGCGAAGAAAAACTTCCGAGCTGCATTTAATCAGTCACGTGTTAACTATGAACAGAAGCAGCTTAATGATATTTACGATGCTAATGATATGGATCAAAGAACTTTTTGGTACCTCTTGAATAAAAGTAGAAATTGTACAAGTAAGTCAACGGGGTCTATCAGATCAGATTCTGGTGATATTTTAACTAATCCCACTGATATTAATAATGATTGGCAATCATATTTCAGCAAACTAGCATCATATGATCACAGGGACATTTTTGACCAAAATTTTGAACAAACTGTTAAATCTGATGTGAAAAACATGAAAGTGGAATCTCTATTAAATAATGATGGTATTCTTGACTCAGAGATTACAGTTAAAGAAGTGAATGATTGTGTAATGAAACTTAATAATAATAAGGCTGCAGGGCATGATGGATTGAATGCTGAGCATATCAAATATGGTGGTGACTGTATGACATTGTTATTAACCTCACTTTTTAATGTTATTCGGGTCAGCGAGTACATCCCAGAAAATTTTTGCACTGGCATTCTCATTCCATTACTTAAATCTGGGAATAAAGACTGTCACAACAAGGATCATCATCGGGGAATAACACTCATGAGTATTTTAAGAAAATTGTTTGACAATATTATTCTGTTAAGAATGCTGCCTCGGCTTAGGAGTAAAATTCCCCAGCTCCAGGGAGCCTCTATTGAAAATTGCTCATCTCTTCAAACATCATTGTTACTACAGGAAACCATAGCCCATAATATTAAGGATGGCGTCATTTTGGCGTTAATGGACATTAAGAAGGCCTTTGACGGTACTTGGATTGACGGTCTGTTCTGGAAGCTATATCACAACGGTGTAAATGGTCTAGCGTGGCGAATTTTGTACCAGTCTTATTGTAAATACAAATGTAAAGTTTTTGTAAGTGGAATTTTAAACCAAGAATCTTTCAATGTCCACCGGGGAGTCCACCAAGGTGGGGTTTGTAGTATGGTCTTGTATCAGTTTTACTTGGCTGATTTATTACACGAGCTGGTTAACAGTCAGGCAGTTGCTAAAATTGGGGATCACCCTGTAGGTTGCCCGGCTTACGCAGATGATCTTGCTCTTATTACTACTGGTCATCACCAAATGAATATTTTACTTCAATTAGCTTATGATTACAGTCTTCGCTGGAGATTTGAATTCCACCCAGACAAATGTGTCATCATGTATTTTGGCCCAGGGAAAAGGGCTGCTCAAGATTTTAAACTTGGTAACAATTCGCTTAAAATTGTTAACTCTGCTCAGCATGTTGGAATACCACTGGGTAGTACAAATGTACATGTTAAAACTGCAATATCTTGTGCAAGAAGAAAATTTTGTTCACTCTTAGGTCTAGGCAATGGGTGCGGTGGTATACATCCCTTGCTTGGATCAAAGCTGTACTGGTCATTCTCCTATCCAACTCTGACTTATGGTTGTGCAGTAATACCTTACACTAACAATGACATTAATCTAATGGAAGGTCTGCACAAAGAGGTCGGAAAACGCATTCAGACATTACCAAAGAATACGCCAGACCCTGTCGCCACTAGTCTGCTTGGATGGATGTCTGTTAAAGCAAAAATTGACTGTGATAGATTGATGTTTCTGTATATGTTGTTAAGGCTACCTGTAAGCTGTATTTATAAGGTCATATGTTTAGAAAGGTTAATACGGATGATGTATTTAAAATCACCATCTCAAGGTCTGAAATCTCCATTATCTCAAATGTGGGATACTGTTGTGCAGTACAACCTCATAGACTATGTTAAGAACATGATTTTTAATGCAGAAATCCCTTCAAAACAAGAATTTAGAACTGTAGTCTACGGACGTGTCAAGAGTTTTCACAATTATAGTACTGTTTTATCATCATTAATGTATAAAAATCTCAACGTGGTGACAGGATCGTTGTCTATCCTAAAACCGAATGTATGGTGGGTGATCGCAAAAGAAAACCCACATGTATTATACCTCTGTAAAATGATGGTCAAATTATTAACCTCGACATATTTTAACAGTAGACGCCGTGAGAGTGACACAACTTTATCAGAAATCTGTATATTTTGTGATCTTAACGAAAGAGAAAGTGTTAAGCATTTCTTGATTACTTGTCCAGCTTTTACTGATGTTAGAAAACCCTTACTCAATTTAGCGAGAGGTAATCTGAATGTAATGAACGACGATTATATTCTTAAAGTGATTCTAGGAACTGTATACAATGATGATAAGGAGACTCTGTTACTCATAGCTATGCATGTGTACGAGTTACACAGGCATAGGCAATTTCTTGTGGATAAAAGTTAGTTATCCTCTTTACCTTACATTAAGTAACACAAATATGTTTTATAATTTTATTTAATTTTCTCTACATGTTAATATGAATGTAACTCTCTTTTATTTAAGAGGTAAATAAATTATACATACATACACAACTGCCCCACGTTGACCAGTGCCTGGGTCTTTGACAGCAGACAACCACGTGACCATCATTTCAACCTACTTAATATTTATGAATGTAAGAAAGCAACGATACAGTCGTCCCACAAAGACTTTTATGATGCATAAAAAATATTTGTGTCTCTTCCCTTGATCTGCTCAGTTGCTAATTGGACAAAACAAATACAATTTGTGTCGGTGTACATGTAATTGATTTATTTAATATTACATAATAATATCAATTAGCAAGTTGGGTAGTCCATTATTATTTTTATCAAGTGACATTTTTTTATATTGTTATATTGCTCAAAACATTATTCATCAAGAGAAGCATTTCAATCCATTTTTCTAGCATTGAATTCATTTTGACAAAAAAGAGAATAATATATTTAAAAACTAAATCATAAGATGAATGTTTTGAAATGTAATTATGTGATTTTCCATTTTATCAAAAAACTTAAAGGACTGTGTATTTCAAAATTTACCTTCAAAATTAGTCTAAATGCTCGACAGACAAATTGATTGACTAGCTTAAGCCACTTACAGTGTTGTTTTTGGTTATTTTGGTTTATTTGTTTTGTCTGTTCCAGGATATTTTCTGCACTTTGATGCCTCCACTGAACAGCAAATGCTCGAGGGAAAGGTTGTTGAAAGTGAAACATTTGACCCTCCACCTCAGATTGTATATGACCAGAATTCCCCATACTACAACACATGTAGGGTAAGCAAGGAGTAGAATACCCAGAATTCAGTGTTGGACTATCTCCATTTAAAGATGAACTTCCTCAGGTTCTTTACATGGAGATACTGTATGTTCATCTATGAATTCTTGGAAATCCCCTCCTCCTGAGTGCAATGGTAAAATAGCAAGACACTAATGCACTTAAAGGAATATTCCTTGCCAGACCCTTTCTCTCTTGATATGGTAGCTATAATCATATATATAGTTTCCATATTTAGCAAAACATGGGAAAAAGTTTTAATATGGTCAATATTGATCAATAAAAATCTAGTGCTTATTTCCAGTGAGCTGCCATCTTTTAAGATTTCTTGCAAGAAGTGATGTCATCAACTCTCAACTTCTATAACCTTGCCCATAACAGTATAGAAAAGTAGCACAAAATCACTTCTAGACAAGTGATCATTACTTTCTGTGCAAAAATATTTTCAGGGCTTGTCAACTTAGAATAAAAGAAGAGATTTTCAGAAGGATTAAATAAGATACAAAGTTGAAAAAGAATATTTAGCTGGTTTTGTAATTCTTAATAGCTCCTCACCTAATGCTATATGCAAAGTTGAGAGTCGATGACATCACTTCCTGTGTGAAATTTTAAAAGATGGCAGCTTACTGGAATTGAGCATCACATTTCTAAGTGATCAAATTTGACCATATCAAAACATTTTTGCGTGTTTTGCTAAACATGGCAAGCATATATATGGTTATAGCTACCATATGAGGAGAGAGATGGTTTGGCAAGGAATATTCCTTTAAATGAGGCAAAGAGCAGAATAAGAGTTGGGAATAGCCCAGAATTCAGAGATGGACCATCTCCATCTAAAGATGAACTTCTTGATCAAATAAGAATTCTGGGAAATTCCCTTCTCCTGAGTGCAATTGTAAAACAGAAAGACTGCAATGCACTTTGAGTGGACTTTGAATACTTGTACTGTTCAATTCAGGTATATAATGGCGAAATCCACCTCAGATTAATTACTTGAGAATTACTTGGTGTTACTCCATATAACGAAACAGGTCAATAAGACCTTTGATACGAGAGCAAAAATCACATTTTTAGTTCGAGAAAATATCTTTAGGTGACATCTATCAATTAGTATACGGACTATACATATAAATATCATCTACTTTCTTTCCTTAATATATTCTACTTTGGTACAAGACATGGGGAGTAAGTCAACCCTCACTCTTATATTCCATATACTATATCTGGGGGAGGGTGGGGGGGTTTGACTTACTCCCCTTGGTACAACGACAGAACCATAAGGAAAACTTTGAATTTCAGGTGCAGTTCTACTACCACATGTTTGGGCCTCATACACAGACACTTGAGCTTGTTGTAAATTCAAAGCAATTTAACATACCCAAGGTGATAATGGAGAAAAGTCACAAAAATGAGGATAGGTGGCGCCGTGAGTCCATACCACTTCCAAAACTTACAGAAAGGTAAAGAAATTAAAAATGTGTACTGTTTGACTTTAGAAACTTATAGATTTTTAGAATAAATGATCTTATGAGCATGCATTATTAGCATCAATCTAAAATAAAAACTATTACATTGTTTACATGCATTCTGGCTTGATCTTTGCAACTTTATCAAATATGTTCCAATATTTTAAGTCCAATCTGTATGTCGAGTAGCATCTCACAATGCCATCTATTTGAATGAGCATTCTCAAAGATGCATCACACTTACTTTGAACCAATCAGTTGCTTCTTTTGTCAAGAAAGATGGCAGTTATGCTATATGTAGAAAAAACTGATACAACAAAATTGTGTCGAAGTCTTCGGTGCTTCAGTATTTTGTGTCCATTTTAGTTTGAGTGAATATTTAATGGCTTGAAAATTGCCAGTTTTGCCTGCAACTGCTAGAAACTGCAACATAGTAATGTCAATATTTGCCAAAGATTTTAAACACTGAAAAAGATCATTTTCACAACCTATTTTAACATCATTTACAATTACACTCAAAATGAGCTATTAAACATTCTCTCACAAAAAATATTATTTAATGCTATGGAGATTTTACAAAATCAGCTAATTATTATCACTGAACAAAGTTCGTAGGGATATAGAGAAGCTGTCTGTTTGTTTGTTCATCCATCCATTGTCTGTTAGTTTGTTTGTGTGGCCAGGCAATAACTCCTGTTTTCTATTTATTATTTTGTTTCTCTTGTTATAGGTATTCCCTGAGATTTATAGCCACAAAAGGTTATCGTTACCTTGGAGATATTGCTGTTGATGATTTCTCTCTAACCCCAGAATGTTTTCTTCGTGGTAGGTGATTTAACTATTATTTGTTTATTATATATATTTAAATTTTATTTCTATTTTAAGATATATTATGTTTAAAAAGTGTTAAAGATTACATGGATTGTGATGTCATAATTGTAAATAAAATTTTGATTCAGTTAACCTGAAGAAAATATATAAATATATCAAAAATTCGTAATCGCGAACAATATTTCATATATAAAAGTATTGAATATATGATTATTGTTATTAATTCCATGCTGTGATACTTGATCTGTCTCTGGTTCGCAAACAAACACCATTTAAATGAATAGAAGAATCTTGTCTATGTTAATTTCCAGGCACCCGATTTGAGGAATCCCGGATTGTTTGAAATTTCCATGGTGTTTCTATCTATAAAAATTAAGAACTTGTTATATTTTAGACTTGCTGGGTTAATTTCAAGGCAGCTGTTTTGGATTATCAATCCTAAAATATCGTCTGCAATCATTTAGAACTGTTTTCTTTTTGATTTTTATCTCACTTTGTTAAACTGCTATATTGTCGTCATCCTGAGCTGAGTGCGTTTGTATGGTTCGGCTGGCGCCACTTAAATCTTGTCATCAGAATTCCAGGAAAATAGCTTCTCCAGCATTCAGCTTCAACTTTTTATGGATACAAAAGCAGACTATAGCACAAAGATCTGTTTAGGTTTTGGGCATTGCTGGGTTAATGGATTATATTTGTTGGCCATTTTTGCTCTTTAAAGTGCAATGTTTGTCACTGTGTGTGTTTGTTTATGGCCTAGTCACATAGCCCGGCCGATGTCTGGCATCGGTAGAGCTTGGTGGATTTTTTTGGTGCCACCGAGCTCTCCTCATCGGAAGCAGAGCTCGGTGACGTGAACGGACTCCGTACGGACATCTTCAGGCGACCGACCGAACACCGGCCGGTGACCGTACGGAGTCAGTCTCAAAATGGTAGTTTTTTTCTGCCGATGTGGCAGCAACTACTGGCCGGAGGTCGGCCGGACATCGGAAGGAATACGGCCGGTACCCGAGCAGGTAACAGGACACCGTGCGATCGCCAGCCGGGTTGTTAACGGGCTTTGAACAGTGACCGGCCGATGCTCTGTCCCACATCGGCCGGAGCTCGGTCGGAGCTCGGCCGCTGTCCGTTAAAAAACCTCGTCCTCTGGTTGTCTCAGATGCACGGGACACCGGCCGATACTCGGCCGTGCACCGGCCGACGTGTTTCCCGATGTGGTTACGATGGGGCTGCGATGACATGATGAGGGAGCTCGGTGAGAGCCCGGTGAAATTTAACTCCGAAGTTAAAATTTCACCGAGCTACCACCGATGCGGTTTTAAGCACAAACGCCACTGATGTCCAGCCGGTGTCCAGCCGGTGTTCGGCCGAGTTCGGTGAAAATTGCATCGCTGGCTCATCGTAACCTCATCGGCCAGGCTATGTGACTAGGCCATTAGCTATATCTCATTCTACACAGGTGTCATACAGGTGTACTATTGCTGTGTTTACATTAATTTACTTGAACATACATCCACTCATTTATCATGCATATGGCAGGTAGAATGTTATTATTGTTACATCATAAGGGTAATGCATCCAAAACATATGATACATAGTAAAATCTTATACTCTGGTCTATCTATCATTTTCACCTGGAAATCTAGCTGAGCATAATATTATATTATAACAGAATTGGAACTCACGATAGGGCTTAACATATAACAGATGATATTCCAATTGTACTGTTTCCAAGTAGAGTTTTGCTATTTAATTTGAAATTTTCCTGAATTCTTATGTTTCGAGGTTTTAAAAGATTTGCATATTCATCAACCAAAGACATTTTCATTTATCTGATGACATATTTTAATTTTGTCCATATTTTTCCATGACATGAACTACTAATGAGGTACAGTTATATTTTTCAGTTTGCCAAGATTTTTATCTTTTCCGAAAAAATTAGGGCTATATCCCAATTGATGCAATGTTAAAAAATCTTTAAATGTTGATGTATTCTTTTAAGGATCATAATTATATAACAACCTTTGTGTCAACACAATCACCTAGTTTCCATTGCAAAAGCTGGTATTTAGCCCTACGAACACATTTACTGCCATCTATTCTTTTAAGGATCATAATTATATAACAACCTTTGTGTCAACACAATCGCCTAGTTTCCATTGCAAAAGCTGGTATATAGCCCTACGAACACAACCACTGCCATCTATTTATATATGTATGTAGCAACAAGCGAGTAAAAACGAGGTCTTGACATCAAAAGTCCACATACCCATTATTTAAAACGTATTCATGAATTAGATAATGATAATGACTCTAAATCGATATGCATCTGATTATGCTTAAATTTTGATTAAAATAAAAAATCACTGGAAAACAGAACTCATATTCAAATCCTTAATCTAACAATTGAGATGTACTAATGCAGCCAAATGAACATCAATTGAAAACTGTTCTCCAAAGCTGTCTGCATTTGTTCTAGTGTTTTATCAGGTACCTCCTCTTTATTATGCTGTAAATATATTCAATTGACCAACATTTTCGGGCAAAATAAAGATGCACAGAAATATCCTTGAATTAAGGATTATTCTTAATAAATATCTGACAAAAACATATCTTTCAAACCATCTGCATATGTGAACAACCTGCACATTTGTGTAATTGAATTGACCTCAAATTAAGCATTCATTTTCATTCCTTCCTGTGGCCAGCATAATAAAGCTTGGGGATGCAGGCCCATAGCCAGGATTTGCCAAGGGGGTTCACTTTTTGAAAAATTCCAGGGGGGTTCTCTTGTGACAATTTTGGTCAAAAAATGGCCAAAATCACTTAAAACTGCTCAGAATGGTGAAAACTGCATGATTATGAAAGATTTTTTGTCCAGGGGTGGGGGGGGGGTTCAAACCCATCGAACCCCCTAGCTATGGGCCTGGGATGTATGTTCTTTTTTCAATTTTCAATTTAAGGAACAATTAAAGTGTCAATATGGTATAACATTAATAATATTCAGAGTTTTACATCTGAATAAAACCCAATCACACCAAAAAACACAAAAAATAAAGATGCACAAAAATATCCTTGAAATGATTATTCTTAATAAATATCTGACAAAAACATATATTTCAAACCATCTGCATATGTGAACAACCGGCACATTAGTGAAATTGAATTGACCCATAATTAAGAATTCATTTTCATTCCTTCCTGTGGCCAGCATAATAAAGCTTGGGGATGCAGGCCCATAGCCAGGATTTGCCAAGGGGGGTTCACTTTTTGAAAAATTCCAAGGGGGTTCTCTTGTGACAATTTTGGTCCAAAAATGTCCAAAATCATTTACAAGTGCTCAGAATGGTGAAAAACTGCATGATTTTGAAAGATTTTTTGGCCAGGGGGGGGGGGGGGGGTTCGCTCGAACCCATGGGCCTGGTATGTATGGACTTTTTTTCAATTCTTCAAAGTAACAGCTAAAGTGTCAATATGGTATAACATTAATAATATTCAGAGTTTTACATCTGAATAAAACCCAAACACACCAAAAACACCCTGCTAATGCCTTGGTCACATATGCTCCGATCCATTGGCTGGCGCCCGGCCGATTGAGTGTTTTGTTCAATATTGTATTCAATTTTGAACAAAATACTCAATCGGCCGGACGCTGTAGTGAAAATCGGAGCAAATGTGACAAAGGCATAAGCCCTGCTATATTTTGTCCATAAGAGAAACCAGGATATATTGACCAGCTTATAAGATACACAAAAGCATGCTGCTTATTTGGGCATAAAATGTTTAAAGTGTCAGTGTATGCTCAAAAAATAAATGAATACTTTGATTTACTGAAATAGAAACATATAATATGTTTCATATGTCTTTATATCAAAGGTCTATGGATTCCTGCATATAAGATATATTAAGTCATGCTCAAAATACAAAATAATTATAATATATTGATGCCATAGGCAGTAGTCAGCACTGTTTCTAAACGAAATGCATGTAGATGTATAGGATTAACTTAATTATTACTTATTTTGAAAAGTTTCTATTATTGATACAAACACCTCAATCTGGCCAATATATCTTGGTGTCTTAAGTGTTACAAAATGTGGCAACATTTATTAAAAGGCCTATATGATCGTTTATTTATATTGGATGGACTTCCTTAAACACTGAAACAAAGGGCAAATTTAGCATTCAAACTGATAATAATGACCCATACTGGCTTACATTGTGGTAAAGAAAATTGGTAGGTGGGCCCTTTAAAGTAAAACCACATTCATAATTAGAAAATGGCAGGTGCAATTTTAATAAATAAAATTATACAAAAATGATTCATCAATTGTCCATCTAACAAGCAGTTTGATATTGCAGTTTGATAGTTTGACATTGCAGTTTGATTTTGCAATACCTCATAAGATTAACTAATTATCAAATATGGAATGATGATGAGCAAAGGTTTTAAGGTGTAAGATTCAAGACTCAGCATTATCTAGATGTTGACCTTGATCTTTGACCTTCAAATAGAAACCATGCTGAACTCAAACTGAGATTTTGAAAAATTGAACTTTGAAGATTATAGAGGTTCAATCAGAAGGGAGTTTGCAATTGGCTGGTTTACAAATCTTGCCCCTTTGTCTTGATCCTTCCAAATGACTGTTAAGAGGGTTTACAGAATTTAACTAGAATCTTAACATCTCCCTCGATTCTACGATTTTCAAATTTAATTTTGTGGCCTATCTAACAGGAGGGGACTGAAAAAGAATATAAAAAAAACCATACAGAAGATGTTGTAGTAAACAAATAGTGCAGCGAAAATACTTTTTAATAGCACACCAGATTTCTGCAATAAATCTTCAGAATCATTCCTCATCCCTTAGGATATAGCGTGTACATGTACACGAAAATAACATATAATTAGAAATAAATACAGCATCGAGTCCATCCAATATAATTTAAAGGATAAACGACACATTGATCGATTGTTTGTTTGATTGATTTTTTCAAGATTATACTAGCTTGGTAATTGATTATGCAATAGCATGTAACGACTCAATATTGAATGATGCGGCACTTAATAAGTATCTGATAGTTGGAGACTGTTGAGGTTGTTGTAAGGGGCCTGCACTTGTTGATATGCATTTGCTTGAACATAAATCTGTCACAGTAGGATCTTAGCTTGAAGAAAGCGATGCTGCAATTTGATACTCAATATACTATACACTAAATACATTCACTTTTATCTTAGGAGATCTCAGGATGGAAGATAAATATATCAATAAAACTGATTTATATATATAGTTTTTTATATAGTAATTAAGAAACTAATTAAGTAATTAAGAGATTGGGATCACATATAATTAAGTCCGCTCAATTGATTTGATAAGTATAATTGACTGACATTTAAGATACAATTTTCGACTTGCAAATGGACAATAGAAAAAAGGATAAATGACCGACATTTAAAATACAATTGTCGATTTGCAAATGGACAATAGAAAGACTTAGAAAAAACAATAATATTATTTTTGTTCATTGATTCAAATTGTAACATATATAAATACATGCAGCAGAAAAAAACAACTCAAAAATAACAAGATATTATATCAATAATATCGTGAATTGACTTTATGACAAGACTCTGTAGTAATGAACATTATCAAAGCAAGATAAATATGTGGTTGTTATGTGATACAAACTTACATTAATCAACGGAGCGATTACGAGCAAAAGACATCACTCTAGTTTGGAGAGAGACTGTATAAGTAGGAATAAAGAAGGAATATATTCATTCTATGAAAACTGAGCTTTTCAATGATTCTAAGAATGCTGGGTTTTGGAGAACAACGAGTTATCTCAGAATGGACCCCTTTAAGACTGTATGTGTTATGTGTTCTTACAGTACCCAGTATGGTCACAGCGGGACCTGCAATTCACTACAAAGACGACGAGAACAGAACGGCAGGTGAGTGATGAACTTTTTTATTATGTCACCACTAAAAAGTGGTGACAGATTGTTATGGCGGCGGTTTTTGACGGCGGTCAGTAGTTGGCGATCAGCAATAGGTGGTTGGTGTCTGTAACAAATGGTGGTGACATTTTTGCATGTAAATGTCGAATTATACCTGCATCACTGGGACACCTCAGAAAAATGGAAAAAAACGTACATGATTTTTTCAAGGTATTATCACCCACGAATGGTCAAGCATGGTTTGAAAGTGGTCACACTTAGAAAAATAGCTTGCTTCAACAAACGTGTTATTTTTATTTAATTACTTTGAAACCACCTTGACAGATGCTCCCGCGGAATGTTTTATTCTAATTAATCTATGGTCAATTGCTTTTACAATTAAAATATATAGGATTATTGATCTGTTTTGCAAAGAACCATATATGGTATGGTATGAGGCAAGTGCTTTTAGACAGTCATATTTTATTTTGACTATGAAAACTTTCTGACCATGACTACAATATTCATCATAAAACCTTCTATTTCCTTTCATAAAAGTTGATAAAAATATATTTTATCAAAATTTAGATCTGATTTTTAGAAAATATATTGATTTTTCAATTTTCCTATAATGTTTTGATAAGAAATGTAAAAAGTCTTTATAAGATAATAGAATCGAGGCACTTTATCAGAAAGTCAGTAATATCTCCTTGGACCCTGCAATCGATTTTTTATGACTTTGTAATTGCTTTGTAATAGACAGCCATTCGTGCCCCGACAGTTATATCACCACAGTGAGGATTTCTTCCAGAGATCCACTTGTTTTGTTTGGAACATGTTGTGCCATACTGATTAGGATACAATGTCCTCAATGGCAAATCAATTTCTTAAATAACATTTCTGTGTAATGACCTGGGGGCACCCCATGGGAATGACTAACTAGCCTAAGCTTAGTGTAACAAGCCAGATACACAATTGAAAGAAATTGTGCCAAATTCAATGCCCCACGTGGGAACTTAGGACCCTTGGATCCAAAGACTCATGCTCTATCAACTGAGCTATAAAGGCTTAAGCAACTTGCTATCCAGGGTTGTGTTATTATTGTAGAAAACTTTTCACCAAAATTGAAATATGCTATTAAAAAGTAGGAAAAGTATTTTATTAGAGGTTAAATATGCAATTAATCTATTAAAATCCCACAAAAAAACAAGAATTTTCTGGATTTTAAAACTATAGAAACTCCTCTATTTAGTATAGGCGATTCCAAATCTCCTTTAGATAATGGCACTGCTCCTCTATATCATCTCGCAATGCTGGGAATGTTTATGGTCGATTCATCTCATGAACCTTCACAAATAGTACAAGAAAAGTTGGATGTGTTTCTAAGAAATATTTTACTTGCAAATTGTTTATGGGTGTACTTTTGGTCAAATATGCCTGTAGATTTATTTATCAGAGTGTTTGGTGTGTGCTTTTAGTCAGAGCATAGTATGCACTTGTTAATGAGGTACATGTGTATGCTAAAATTGTGAAAACTTATCAGGTATTGAATTAGGTAAATGGGGTTTGGATTTGGTATATGCCTTAACTATACCTTTTGTATTGTATTGTATTGTATTGTATCTTTTTTCAAGGACACCCCTTGATTCTGAAACTTTGCAATCTTTTGTAACTTTTCATGAAGAACAAAATGATATACATTATACAAGTTGTATATAACATGATAGGGTAGCGATGCTACATGTATGAGTTTATGGGGGGGGGGGTACATACATATGAAACACCCTGTACTTAAAGTAAGTTCTTAAGGTGCATAGTTTTAGTCCCAGGGCCTAGGCCCAGGGGCAGAGTAGGGAACCAAAAAGGGAGGGCCCAAATTTCAAGTGCAAAGCGTAAGAAAAATTTTGGGCCCCTAAAACCCACAAGTGGGCCCAAATTTTGAGACCTTTTTTGGGCCTAGCTGCTTTGATATGTCCTGTCAGTTTCAGTAATATTTCGCCAAATTTGACCAATTTTCAATGATCAACGTAATTTGTTTTTAGAGAAACTTTGGGAAACGCCATCCTTTGACTTAACTTTATTTGGGCAACTCAGACAGCAAGACAAGGTGAATTTAATGTTGTATGGTGACTCTTCTTTATCATGTCTGACAAATCAGAGAATTATTGAAGACTGTGCGTTTTCTCCAATTGATTGTTTTGACTTTGAGTGAGTAGTACTCCTGTCTAAGTTGCAACTTTTATCTTTTACTTATATTTACAATTAATTAACTGGGCTAATAATGCATTGCCTCGGCCCTAGCTAAGTTTGTAAAGATGTACAGATTATTATGATAATAAAAACCGTTAAACCTTAAAAATAAATGCTATAGCATATTTGACTTCTAAGGTTGTTTTAACCTCAGATGCATATGTTCTGCCCTGTTACTGTTTGGTGTGTCATGCAGGAAGATCTTCCCGGAACCAATCAAAAAATGCCCAAATTCTTAAATCATCAAGGTGAAGTTTGAGGGTAACTTGGACCTTGTAAATCAACATGATGCTATGTATATAGTAGGTTTTATAGTTGCACAAGTCAACAGTAAATTTATGTAAGCCTGTATAAACATATTGGTCATTACTTACGATTTACAAGCTTACTTCAAACACAAAAAGAATCAACAAACACATGAAATAATCATTATCTTTTCCAGATATTACAGGTGTTTAAGCAGTGCAAAAATTTGAAAAGGTTAAAAGCTAAAAAATAGGACAACTGGTCTGAGGAAACAAATCCCATATTTCTAGAAAAATGATCAAATGGAAAGAGAAACAGTCACCTTTAAGTAAAGGACCTACAGTATTATGATTTGGTGAATTAAATTCAACATTTTTTCTCTCAAACCAGTAGCATCTATGTTCTTAATAAGTTCTCTCAGTTTCGTAGTTGTACAAAGAAAATCAAATAAAAGGATATTTTAAGTTCATCTATATTTTTGGGTGGGGGTGAGGGTATTTTAAACTCCTTAAGTGTGACAAATTCCAATCATAAAAATCTATATAACACAATAAAAATTCATTAAAAGACATCAGGATCAAAATTTCAATTAAAAACGATATCTAAGTATAGGTTGACATAAACGCGCAAAATGAATTTTGCTCAAAAATAAAAATTTAAAAAATGATCGAAAATCGAACATGGGGGTTCTGGTCGAAAAAGCATGTGCTCCAATGGGTATTTGAAAGCTTTCCCAGGAGTAATTTCACCCCTGATGCAATGTAGGATCTACTTTGAATTTCAACAACATGCCTTTTAACATGTCCCTGTACACACTGAAGCGAAGCATGACCCATGTTTGCGTGATGAGAAATGAGACAATTGCTCTTAAATGATTACCTGACTGAATGTAATGTTATTTACTCCTTTTCAATTGCCAGTTTAACCATATACCATTTTCAGAAAAATATCAAAGTTGTGTTAAAAATGCATGGTCCAGCTCTGATTTTCGATTGAAAATGATATATGAGCCTCAGTATAGGAAAACCAGTCTAATCACAAAAAATAAAATTGTGCTACAGATCAAAAAATGTGCCCAAGATTAAGAGGAAAATGTGCTAAAATCCGTCTTTTTGGTTTATATTTGCAATGAAAAATTGTTAAGACATGAACAATGTCCCATGTGAAAGTTCTCTTTGTGCTTTCAAACAAAAATCCAAATATGGAAAAAATCTGTGATATGACCCCAATTTCCTCTGCCCTGGCCATAATTATTTATGGATCAGCTCTTTTTGGCACCTGTCCTTATCTGAAAAGAAAGGTATAATGCTTGAAATCTCTAACATTATTATTGACTAAAGATAAAAACATATGAGTACCTTTCAATTATCATGTGTTATCTTGTTTTTAGATAAATCAAGTTTACAACTACCGTACGTGACATTGAGCTTGAAAGGCATAATTGATTTAGCTGAGGTCACATTAACTTTCTTGGACAAATTATACCATAGAGAATTATTAGAATTACAGAAAGATTTTTTTTTTCTTACTTTAGATCTAAGAATTGGAGATTAATATCAACTATTAGAGCTGATTAGGAAATTGTATCCATTATTATTTCCATTATATCAAGTTTAGAGATTTACTGCAGTGACAGCATAAAGTTACTGATATAATGACATATAGGGTAGTGATAGACATTATTTAATGTTGAATTAAATTTTTTGATGGAAAAGGGATAGAGAGTGTTAAATGATAAAATAAATATTTTCAAGAGCAAGTCAATTATTTTCCTAATGATTACAATACTTAACTAACTTTATGTCTTTAAAATAAGGCAATTAGACTAAGTGACAGCATATACACTCATCCTAGTATTCCGTGATTCCGCGTCGCCGCAGAAAAACCGCAGAAATTTGCATTTTCATTTTTTTTGCAGAATTTTTGTTTTGGCACGGAATTTCGCGGAAAACATGATTTTTCCAGTCAACCATCTCATCTCATATTTGTCACTCACCTAAACACCCGCTCGTTTGTTGTCAGATACTTGTGTTTTGTCAGATTTTCAAGAGGAAATCTGAAATCTGTTTTAAATTCTCGAACTTCCGCCTTTGCACTTAGAGGTAAGACTGCGTCTAACATAATCACGAAATTTGAAACCGATGACTGTCCCTCGTAATTGTTTTGCAATAATATGTTTAATATTGTATTATTTTGTATTCTAACGCAATAAATCATGCTTCTTCTTGCGTTTTACTTCATCATATATAAATAAACGACATCTGAATTCCCTGCATATTGATCTGGAATTTCGTGATACTTTGAATTTCGTGATAGTTCACAAGTGAGCATTTGGTAAGTTTTGTCGCTAATTGATTAAAATTGCATCTGATGTTATTACTGCAGTTGTCCATTATCGCTGAATAAAGCAGCATAAGTGGAGTTCAAGAATTTTAAATTATTCATTTTTTGGAGAAAATTATTGATTTTAGCTTCATGTTAGTCTCAGATTTTAGCAAGAATTTAACTTTTTGCACATA